GTAAAGATTGTGTGGAATGTGACTGGCTGTTATTCACCGCACCATGTACAACACTATAAATAATATCAGCTCAGTTTAGTTTTGGTTGATTCTTACATTACCTTGGTAGTTGTAATCCATTTTGTTTCTCTCTGTTCCTTAATTCAGAAGTGTAATTCCACATATATTTCAGAAGAAATTATATGCTTTTCTGAGGCATGGCTTTGACAAGTGGCCACTAGATGCATCCTTTAGATTGGTGAGTTCGAGATTGAACTAGGGTGATTTTAACCAGTGAATGTGCTGTTGACTTGTTAAATTTCAAACAATGGAATGCACCAATGTAATTTGAAAATTACGTTGATCATAAAAAGTGTGGATAGCTGCTCGAATTCACCACCGGATACAAGTGACATCAGTATTAGCTGAAGATGAGTGATAATACAGTTCTTGGCGTACCAGCTGTATGAATAAGCTATATCTGGTTGAAATCTTTTTTATCAAATCAACAACAAAACAAGCAGCCTGTCGGCTGAGTTAGCTCCGCTGTTTTCAATGCACATTACAAATAAAGAACAGAAGATATCATTAGAAAATGAACAATATGTATAGTATCAAAGCAATCAGACTTGAGGTTTTCAACAATATTGAAAAATATAACTTTTTACCAAAAATGACAAAAATATTCACCAAAATTAGAGAATTAAAGATATCATTACAAACTGAACAAATCTGAGAGAGCGGTCCACATGTAGTACCTATATATATAATATCAAAGCAATTGGACTTGCGGTTTTTGACAAGAAGTTGAAAATATAATCACTTTTTACCAAAAATGACAAAAATATTCACCAAAATTAGAGAATTGAAGATGTCATTACAAAATTAACAAATCTGAGAGAGGTCCACATGTAGTACCTATATATGTACATGTAGTATCAAAGCAATTGGACCTGCGGTTTTCAACAAGAAGTCGTAAATATCACTTTTTACCAAAAATGACAAAAATATTCACCAAAATTAGATAATTAAAGATATCACCACGAAATGAACAAATCTGAGAGAGGCCCACATGTAGTACCTATATATGTAATATCAAAGCAATCGGACTTGCAGTTTTTAACAAGAAGTCGAAAATATCGCTTTTTACCAAAAATGACAAAAATATTCACCAAAATTAGATAATTAAAGATATCATCACGAAATGAACAAATCTGAGAGAGGTACACATGTAGTACCTATATATGTAATATCAAAGTAATCGGACTTGAGGTTTTTTACAAGAAGTCGAAAATATCACTTTTTACCAAAAATGACAAAAATATTCACCAAAAATAGAGATTTTGACATGAAATGAACAAATCTGAGAAAGAACCATCCAAGGTACTTGCATATCTAATTTGAAAACATTCTGACTTGCGGTTTTGAAGAAGAAGTTGAAATTGTAAAGTTGACGCAGACGCCGCCGACGGACGACGACGGTCAATCAGTAATATGAACAGCTCCGCTGTGTCGACTTTGTCGACAGCGAAGCTAAAAACAGAGATTGTAGTTTTACTTTAACTACACCTACAAATCTGATGATAATTTATGCTAACAGAAATATCTATTCAAAATAAACTTACAGTCGAAATTATTACAAGCTAGTGTCATTGCACCATTCTTGTTTGGCTGCAATAACAATTTCTGTTGCACAACTTGTTATTTTGTATGTCCTGTTTAAACTTGCATAAAATGAAGCCTAACATGATATCGTGACGTTTATTGAACTATATCAGCTAGTGATATTACATTAATTGTTAAAGCTAATGAATTGCACTATTGATATAAATATTTAGATTATTAAGTATTTAATAATGACCTAGATAGTGAGTGAAGACCACAAAACATATGGTTTGGGGTACTGGCATTTTTGTGTTGTTCTTGTTCCTGATGCCCTATGAATTTATGGTTGGCCCAAGTTTATGAGTCACCATGTGAGAGCAAGCACCAGCAATACTAACAGGTCTTTCAGATCACGAAATGAACGCTACCTATGTGTATTTGCTAGATGTTGGAGAGCTGGCTGAGTTTCATACAACCATGGAGGTACACTGAAGAGCGTAAAACATTAAATGTGTCAGGTGATAACAAAGAAGCTAAAGATAAAGCAGTGTCAGATCAGTGGTGAGAATAATACTTCCATTATTATAGCGGGTGTTGAAATAAACTGATCAGGAAAACCACCAACTTCTTATCAATCAACCTTTCCACAATGCTAGATTCATTTGATTTTTTACTTCAACACTTCTTATTGACAATAATTCAAAAATAGGATTAATGGATTTGGCTTTCAAATAAAGTCAGATTTTTGAGCAAAAGAATTGTGTGAAACTTTGAAAATGATAGAATATCAGAATCATTCTACACAGTATAATATTATTTTATTTCAAATTCAAACACCCCTGTCAAATATAGTGGTACTTTTGATATGCAAATGAGTGTTGCTGAAGACAAACACACACACTGCTGACAATGTTCTTAGGAATATTATATTGTTGCAAGGGAGATTGTTAGGAAGATTTCCAGATCAGTTTCTAGGCAAAATGTTTGAATAACCAAAAATACAAAAAAATGATTACAGAAAACATAATTTGTGACTGTTTCCGGTGAATTAAAGTAAAGAGATAAACCACACCACATCTGATTATACCAAAAATATAACGCAATTCATGACATATATGAGCATACTTCAAGTGATTTAAAATGTCAGCTAGATTTACCTCCACTGTTACTCACGAAGAACCATATTTGTCTTTTTAACCTATTCACCAACAGACTTTCTTGCCTAAATTTGTCTGAACTTTTTTTCTTATATTTTTCAATATTTGTGAGAATGAATCCTAATTTTGATCAGACAAAATTTGAGTCAATTTTGAGTTTTCACTAAAAAATGTGGCTATTTTTGTCCCAATCTTTCAAAGAGAAGGGCAGGCTATAAATGGGACTATTTTTTGAATTTGTGATAAAAAGAGAATTGGTGGTGAAAAGATTAATCACAGCTTGCATAATTAAAAACGCTATCTTGCCCAATCAGAATGACATATTCAGGCAATTAAAATGCTTGTACATGTACAATATAGTATACAATAGCCACATCATTCTAAAATTTTCTGGAATACTGCACTAGGCTAGTTTAAAAAAAAATCATAATTGTCAATCCCGAAATACTGTTTCTTTTTTGTCCACAGGGAAGAGTTTATTATTGATAATTTATTATTTTACACAACTCTATTTATTGATTTCCTACCACGTGCCTTCAGACAAGACTTGAGTGCCTCCAAGAATGCCTACATGTTGTTTAGAGTGTGTAAAGTTTATGGTCAATCTGGCCTATCAGAAATGATAGAAGAAGGTAATGATTGGGAAAAAATGTATAGAAGATGGCTTTGGATTGGATACTTTGCTCAAACATATACCTGACAAGCCTATCAGAGAATGGCTTGTGTATGTTATTTGGCTCATCTGATCTTGAATTGTTTCTTATTATTTATTTTGCTTCTTTATTATACATTCTGTTATCACATCACACTGACCAGTAAAACTAAAATCTCTTGAAAATCTTTAATTTATATGCTTATTTTGTTTATAAATCATGAATCTCATTTTTCCAAATTACAAATTTTGCAACTACAGTAAGATGCTTTTCAAGATCACTATTATATAATAATAATAATAATAATAATAATAACAATTTATTATACATCTGTTACCGTAATGCCATAAGTTACAGCGTACCATAATTTTGCGGTATTTTACAGGGTATTTTCACCCTACCATATAAGGAAACGCAAATTCCAAATATGGAATGATTTAGCATCCTCTAATAATAAAAACAAACATGGCTGCCACCAGGGTTTGACCAGACTCCGCACAAAGAAGTGCGCTGATTCTGTTCTGAACTTTTTGGATTTCAGCATTCCCATGATTTATCCTTGGAAGGAAATGATGTATAATAATAAGGTTATTACGAGGATACCTCAAAGTATGCACTCAGACAGTACGCCATTGCATTGACCTCCACTGTGTGTCGGTCAATACTCCCGCTGTACTGTCTTTGTGCATACTTATGAGGTATCCTCATAATAACCTCGTAGTATTAATTTACTCAGTTAATACAGCCAGTACATGTACTTTCTACATGTTGTTGACTACCTCGTGTTCGTTACATATTTTATGCAAGTTGTAATCATTCACAAATACAGTTTATCGTCAACTCGAATAAATAGCCAAAAAATAAATACACATTTGTTTCTTCTAACTCAATAGCTGAAGGCCTACTTTATGAACAAACAACTCTTGGGGTTGGTCGACATATTGGCAATCCAATGGGAAGACCCCCTAGTGCGGGAGGAAGTTACCTGTCATCTCCTAGACCCCCTAGTTGTGCAGTATTGCGTTTACAGCTAGCTGAGCTGGAAGGTCAAGGGTTTATGTATAAGCCATTGTTCAGCGAAGAGTTACAGGTTTTGGTAAGTTTTGACTTTTAAACAAATATTGAGGGGGACGGCTACTCATTGTTTTACAGAAAATAAATGGTATACCCAGTTGTCTCCGATTAGCTGTCACAGAGACAAATGCCGCTCTAACGTTGACAATTACATTAACCAGGCAAAGCGCTGTCGTGAGAAGTCCGATTCAGGCCGTCGCTGTAATTCCTTCTATGGTAGCTTCGCAACTTGATGCTCGTTATGCACACCTTCCTTTCTATGCTCTCTACGATGTCAACTCCTCATAAAGCTATTATTTAGCGATCTATATTTTATACCAAGAAGTATTTGCTGTACAACGTATTGATGTTCATGTTGAGTACAAATAAACCAGTTTGAATTATACCTCACGTCTGTTCAACTCAAGAAAACACAACGCAATCGATGTCCGTTTCAATAACAATTCCGCATGATTAGTCAGTTCGTTTTATGTGACGAAAAGAACACCCAACGCCTAGTTTTGCGATATAAACTTATCCACCACATAAACATGATTAATAATTATAGTTATGCATCAAAATATTATTTCCAAACAATTTATAAAGAATGAATGTTAGTTCGTCTGGAATTAAATAAGTTGGGAAGATGGTGACAAAATCGTGCATTGTATTATGTCCTGACAATTTAAAAAGTACATTTCTCTAATTATTAAAATAACTCTGGCAGATCTGCATCAAAATAATAGGTCCCAACATTTTAAATAAAATAAGTCAGAAAAATTGTGCCAAAATCTTGAATAATTATTTTGTTTCTGTGAACTTCTTGTATTTGATTTTTTTCAGCACATTGATATAAACTACATGTAGCTTATGTTCTGAGCAGCAGACAGAACTATGGTTGTCAGTGTGCTAATATACGTTGTTCTAAAACATAATTGATTTACTAATTGGTAATTTCATGAAGGAAAGCTCATAACAGATTAACTATGTTTCTACTCTGCAGATTGAACAGTTACTTGGTAAGATACTACATGCACAGAGCACCTTGAAATTACTGGGTAAACCTGACCAAGGCCAGTCCAATGGCGGTGGTTTACTCTCCTTTTTAGGGTTCAGCAGTTTGATGGATTACAACAGTCACAGTGCCTTCGGTTCTTACACAAATGATATCGGATACGATGATACAAACCACCCAACAGATATCAAGAAAGTAGAGTCGCATCTACAACAATCGCTGACATATCTACGCAATATATTTAAGGTAAGTGCCTGTATTGAATTATTATACATTCATACTTTAGGTTTACATTCACTCAAACATTGTTATAGACACTTGATTTCAATTTGTAACCAAGCCCTGAATGATTTATTTAACACTTTGCAGTCTATTGTTTTAGCAAGAGGTTAATAAGAAGGAAATATAATTTAAAGTACATGTAACAAAAAACTTATGCATTGCATTCCAGTTACAAGCTTTCATTAAGAAGTAACAATTGCTATTCTCCTAATTTATATTCAACATTACTCTATATATTCTGCTGAGTTGAAAAACAAGAATTAAAAGAAAAAAATTATTTAAATTTGTATACACAAGGGTGGGCACTCTATCATTTACAGTAGTGATGTTTAGTTGGAAATATCACTAACTGATGTTTCACATTGAACGTCATCATGCTGAGATCAGATCATGTGATGGTACTGTTTGAGAATATGAGAGTGATATCAGGTGATAACACACCTCATATACAGTTCTGGTAACTGTTGTTCACTGAGATACATGTACCATTGTATTTTGTATGCAGGTGGAGGCTCCAAAAAGTAGTGACAGTAGTGTATCATGGGGTCCATCATCGTCGTCATCAACAAATCAGTTACAGAATGATCGACCAGATATGCCTGACATGGTGGATGGACATTTATCACCGCTTGGCAGATATCAGGTATGTTGCAATGTATCTCTCCTGTTCATCCAGCATTATAAAACTTCACTTGGATAATCAACTACACTTTTACAGCATGAAATGAGTGCATTGTGTGTGTCTGTCTGTCTGTCTGTGTATGTTTGTCTGTGGTGTCTCTCAAGATCTGAAGAATCATCTAGATTGGTGAAAGTTGGTACATACAATGAAGTTGCATTGGGAATTCATACATATTAATTACCTAATTTGAATAATGGTTACTTGGATAGAGATAATTTTAGTTTGGGATTTTGATTTTCACTTTTTCTGTCTCTATTTGTAGCCTATGTAAATTACAGAGGTATTCTATAGTCAAAATTGGTAATATTTTAATGATTCACTGTATACAACAAATGTGATTTTCGATTTATATGCACTTCTAATTGAGCAAATACAATATTGGAAAATTAAATACCAGTGTAATTTATGCGTTTACATTTATTTTGGAAAGATCAACTACTTACTATACTGCAAACATTCACCAGTGCATTTGTAATTCTTTCCTACAATAGTTAATGAATGGACTGAAGAAATTTGAGATTGTTTATCACGGTGACCCTGATTTACAGCCAATTAGAAGTTTTGAGAATCCAGCTCTTGTTAGATTTCTGTACAGAGTATCATCACATATAAATAAACAGGTTAGTATATTCATATTGTTATCATGACATTATTATGAGAATACCGGGATGTATGCACGAAAGCAGTACTGTGATCGTATCGACAAATATTTGGCAGAGATGGATGCATTCTCTGTACTGCCTGAGTACATACTTTCTGGTATTCTCGTGATAACCTTAATGAGAAATAACAGCCAGAAATAGCAACGCTCCATGTGTTACTTTGTTCAGTGATGGGATTATATTCCTCACTGATGGCACTTCTTCGTCTGAAGTAAACAAGGTAGTGTTCAAATGTGACGTAAATTGAAGCGCTATTTCTGAATAAGGACATTCAAATGTGTCCATAACACTTTCGAACATCAATCGGTAAATTCTATTGTTTTTGGTGTCAAAATATATATTATTATTATATCTTAATTAATGAGGAGATGGGAAATCTATGGCAGCTATTTTTGTGGTCGCCCTCTGTAGATGTAAGATCATGCATCCATTCCTCACTGTCCCACATAACTACTAGGTAATTAAAGCAATTACCAGTGACCTAATGGCTGTGCTGTCCTGGAGGTCGAATTATTGAACATTTCAGGAAAGAGTATTCTGTTATTAAATGTATCTTAAGATCTTTGATTGTTGTCAATACAAAAATAACGTATTCATGAACCTTAAAAATATGCTCGATGTTAATTGCTCATTGTCAAGTGGGCATCATTTATGCAAACTTTTTTTTTCCAAATCATGCTTCCATAAACACTTTAGTTTTTCTGGGAGTGTGTTCATGTCGCTCCCTCAGGGTGCTCCAAGTGATGTAGTTACTCGTAGCAACGAAAAGAAGTAGTGTCACGTGATCACATCGGTTGTTGCTATGTGAGCGAAACTTGTATAAAATTCAGTTTAATCATGCCAAGTTGCAATATATGTTTGAGAAAATTGTCTAAACACGTTTTTTACCTTTTTGCCAAACTTCCCTGACTCTGCAAGCAGGGGTGGTGAAAACTGCCCCAAGTCACCCTAGCTGTGACATCAAATAGCAGTCGAATGAAAACTGGGCAGGCGCTGCGTCATCCCGTGGCAACAATGCAAACGCACTAACTACATGTAGTTTCTCAAAGTCAAAATAAGAATTACTTTGCAACCATTTCATGACATGTTCTTGTTACCTGTTACCTATCCTCCAGATGCCAAGTGGCACATAGGGTCTCCACCAAACGTCTCCATTCTGTCCTATCAGCTGCTGCAACTATGGCTTCCGCCCATGACTTCCATCCAGCCTTGTTTCTTTCCTTCTCTACAGTGCGTCGCCAAGTTGTTTTGGGTCTACCCCGTTTCCTTTTCCCTTCTGGTGCCCATGTCATGTTCTTGTTAAATAATAATAAATTTGTCCACTTTGCCCATCCTTCTATTTTTTAAAAGCATGATAAAATACTTACCTGTACTAGCAAGTTAGACATTACTCATAATTTATTATCTTATTTTATTAGTTTGGAGATAAGATTGAAGAAATGTGTCAAAGGAGCGATCTAGTCGGACAACTATCAAAGGAATTCTTCAGTCCGCCTGCAGTGTCACCATGGCAACCAACTCACTCTACCCAAAAGTGCAGTCCAAAGTCAGAGCAAGAAGCCCTAGCTATGAAGCCACGCTTGAGTTTGAGATTTATGGCCAGTTATCAGAATATTGGCTATGTCCTGGCCTTCTTTATGATGTGCTATGTATACAATATCAGTTTTGTCATGGGCATATTTTTGTTATTAATCTTTGCACTGTTTTACGAACTTCTCAAAGTCACGTTTTTGTCTCCCGCCTCATCAAAGCAGAAACGACACTGATGTCAAGTTGTTGCTGCAATTATCTACGCTAGGAGAAGGATTTGGAATTTTGCAATGTTGAATCTAGATAATGATCAAGCAAATCATCGTCATTGGTTCATAAGATGATGCGACATAGTCTCAGGTCAAGACAATATATGTGTTTGACAATCTTGGGAAAGAGGATACCATGGGATGATTTGATATAATTCTGAATGCGTGTACTTGCCGAGAACCTAAAGCAATTCCCAATTGCTCAGTTATTAAAGACTTAAGAAAATACAGACATTGCATCTTGACTTGAAGTTGCAGTCTTAGTCGAAATATAATGTGCATACTGAAAAAGACATTTGAGTTAAATGGGAAAATAAGTATGGTACTTTACAGTAATAAATTTGACTAGTCATTGAGTAAAACATGGTCATGCAAGGACCATGAGCAACATTTATTTATCTTAAATAAGAAAATGACCCTTGTGGTACACAGCATTATGTAGATGATTTAGTTTCAAACCAACCACAATGTGTTAACCTTTTCACCAACTAGTCCTGTTTATGGTCTGCACTTTTCGTCACAGATTGGAACAAAAATAGCAAAATTTTTGTAGTAAAAACTGAAAGTAGGCTTCAAAATTAAGGTTTATTTCCAGAATATATCGGTAAGAAAAAAGTGCAGACAAATTTGGGCAAGGCGTCTGGTGGTGAAAAGAGGTTTAATATGTAAATCATTTCACACACAAGATTCTGTTTTGTATTGAACATTTGTAATATAAATGTATAGTCAAACATCAGTACAGGCAAGCATTAAGTTTTACCAGAGGTACATTACTTGGGGTTTGCAACTCGCATAGTACTGTATGGTGACATCATGTCAAGATCCCATTCAAGTCTCATCTCGTAGATAGCGAGACTGAGGCTACGACCTTCTGACATGACGCATATCAATGTTCAAGGTTTGTAATGAAAAAAATAAACTTTTCTTGTCACTATCATAGTGAAAAATGTAATACATCGAAAATGTACAGAAAATATAGTTCTCGTAATCCGTCATATCGTGGGCAGCTATTTTGATCCACCTGGACATCCCAGTATCCTAGTTACCTCAGGCATGCGCATTCGCATTTTTTCTGAGTTGGAACGTTTATGCGAGAGCGAGATTGTGACGGGATCTTGTTATCATGTCACCGTAGTTACAAACCCCAAGTAATGTACCTCTGGTTTTACAAGATTTCACATTTACGAACAGTTTTTAACAGTCTGTATATGATTGAATTAAAACACCCAACCACGTAAAACTTTGGTTCTTGAGTCAAGCACAGCAGAGCAGGCTACACAATGTATATCACATGCAATTTAATTGCAAGGCAATTTAAAAAATAAAATCACTGGTTGGTCACACAGCAGTCCAAAATATACATTTTGTTATCAATCTGGATTTAAATTTAGAAGAAATAACTGAATAAAAGCTGACAATCAGTATGAAAAGCGAATTCTGTTTGGCCTTCATTGGCTGTTGAAAAAAAATGTCATTGCCTGCCCCCACCATGCCAATTGAATATTATTCAATTGTGGAACTTCAAAATATAACGCACTTCGGTACCTGTTTTGCCTGTAAATCTGTCAAAAATGGTTTACATTAAATGAATGATTTTACTAGGTGTGCAGAATCCTGAAGAATATGTTACAGACTAAATAATTTAGCAAAGTCGGCATTGCTCATCTTTGGCTCTTTACTACTGCCGCCAGTATCCATCTTGTCCCCGCTGCCAACATCGGCTGCTGTCGATTGTTGTTTTTTGATCGCCCTTGGCATAAATGCAAGCTGTGTTCGTCCTTTACCACGAGGTCCAAAACCAGAACTGAAAATATGAGGTAAAGAGAATGTAAGACTGATAGTGTTGAGTTATACAAGTTTGTTATTATTGGTAACATTAAAAGTAATAGTTAACAGAAAGCAAACTCGCTTTAATATGCACATACAAATTTACAAGCAGATTGTTAATATCCACTTCGCATATACACTGTATTATATGACCTATATAGACATTAACAAAACAAAAATATTACAGCCTTGTTGCAGTCAAAGTATTGCCTTACCCTCGTTGTCCTCTTTGTAACTCCTCAATATCTTCAACAAGACTTCCTTGTTTTGGTTTCCTAGGTGGTGGGTTGCTAATAGCAACATTGATTCTATGCTCGCCCATTTGAGTGCCATCTGTGGCAAGCACTGCTTTCGCAGCCTCTCCCTGAAATACAAGTGATTTTAATCTGTAAATGAAACCTCTTGACCCACGGATATTTTCTGACACCAATTTTGAGACACGGGAAAAATTATTGAATTTGTTGCAGTGAATATTTTCTCTGAAGTGCCGCAGACATCGAACATGTTTAAAATTCATTTCAACATTTGTTAGTATGTGTTTATATGACCCACATCAAACACAATGAACAGTGAAATGGGAGTCACAGTAACTTTCAACATTTGTTTGTTTGTGTTTATATGACCCACATCAAACACAATGAACAGTGAAATGGGAGTCACAGTAACTTTCAACATTTGTTAGTATGTGTTTATATGACCCACATCAAACACAATGAACAGTGAAATGGGAGTCACAGTAACTTTCAACAATTGTTATCATCTTTAAAAACATTAAATGGTGAAACTATATTGCTGCAATTAAAGACAACAAAACAAATGTTAATGGCGGAGACACCAACAAGAGGGATGGAAGACAACATACATTTTTGCCTCAAATACCTTCCTATTAATCTCACCTCGTTGACATATTCTACATATGCTAATCCTTTTGGTGCTCCTGATTTGTACGTTACTATTCGAATATCTTTGATATCACCGTGCTGTAGGTATAAAACAAAGTAATATAATTTATTTGGATAAGGGTAGTTACAAAAAAAATACATATTAATATTTGACAAATGTTGCACCACAAATTCGTGAAAAGAATAAAGACGTTCAAGGATTATGAAAGTTTTCATTTTTGTTTAGTTTCACAAGTTAAAGAATGAACTGCTCCCAGTAAAGGCAGCCATATTATACGATACCTTCCCAAAAAGTTCTTCCAGCATCTTTCTATTAACAGACCTAGGGAGTCCTGATATAAATAATTTATTTTTCTCCATATTGGTACTCCACTACACAAAAAAAACATAATTAAATCATGATGTGAGTGTGATTATTAAAAACTGCATTACTGTATCATATTGCTAACAAGTTGAACCAGCTTTGACCACCATTTCCTAGTGATGTAGTACAGCTAAAGAGCTCATGAAGTGTAGGTTTGATGACTTGTTTTTACCCCTCACATAGTATCCCTTTCTCCCCCGTCACTGCATCCACTGTCCCAAATACCATAGTTACATATATCACTGGAAGAGTAGACTTGATGATGGGGGAGATAAGAATGCTACAGCTGAAGAGCCCACAAAGTGTAGATGATTCATATTACATGCTTATGTGGGCATATTTTATTTACAATCACAGCACTAAAATGCAATACAGCTGCGTCAACATGCATTTTGTATAAAAAACCCCTTGTTGATTTCTAGATGAAAATAAGTCGTGTCAGAAGTGTGTGGTCTTGCCTGATAAGAACCCAGTATTATGTATATGTGATGCTATTGCAGCAAAGGTTTTAACTTTGGCTAATTTGCAGGACGAAATATACACAGTTAAAATTCAAAATCAGTTTTTCAAGACTTGTCGTGCCTTCAATTTAAAAATAATTGCACATGAAAACAAGCAATGACAATGCAATTAATGTTTAATACATATAACATGTAAATATACACATCTACCAAAGGGATCCATGCATCATCTGTGTCAATTTTAATGCAGTATGACTGGAAGTGCATACACTGAAAAAATTTTGTTATTATAATCACATGTACAGACAGAGAAACTACTGTAGCAAGGATACTATAAAGAAACAATCGGCCGTCTCTTGGCCATTTTTTATAAGCAATCTTTCAATCAATCCCAAAATCATTGCACATACATATCTATCAGACAAGTTATGAAGTATGTGTAAGAATTGCAGATAATTGGTCAAGGCTTGTCTGAGATACAGCACGGACACATGCACATAGAGACTTGTATACGTGTATGCATACAATATATGACCATGCAAATATCAGACAAGAAAATTAAAATGAGACAAGTTACCTGAAATTGTTCTGGTTGACTTGCTTTTTTTGTTTTATCCAGTGACGGATCCACAAACATCGGTCTGCCATCTATCGGTTGTCGATCAAGTTTGAGAGCCTTGTCTGCTGCAAACTACAAAATCTGAAATTACTTAATTTTATGCACAGGCAAGTTTGGAATAATGTTGATTCGAGTTACGTCATTATCATGTTTGATTCGGACAAACAAATCTGTAGTCAAAAGCGTATATATAACTGTTGAGGTGTTAAAATAATATTGCAATGTCTTTGTTCAAGTAGTAAACGTTTGTGAAAATCATAAAAATTAAAAGAAAAGCGCAATGAAGTACATTTAATGTAATTTGGGTTGAGAAACCTTCTCGCCTGCCATGCATTTGATGAAATTTCATGGGCTTATTATAAACATCATTCTATTTTTAGTAAGATCACTCCATTGTGACCAACACTATTTACATAGTAGTAAAAATATATTCCATGATGCAAAGTGACATGATCTGAAATAGTATGTTATAATTTTCCATGTACGAGTAGTATTAATTTGGTAGTACTACAAGTCGCATTGCATTGTGGGTAATATAATGCAAGTTAAATTTTTCATATTTTTGCTTTACTTCACTTACAAGTACAACCACATGTAGAAATTTAGTAAACGAAAATCAAAACTAATTATTTATTTTAAAAGCTATCTATATGTTTACAATGAGATCAATATAAAAATCGTAGTGCACTTTAGGTGTAGGTTCTTGAATGAAAAATTCCCTTATTGACAAATGGCTGCAGAGATCTCGTTGAGTCACATGACTTGTTTTTACCTCTAAAATAGTGTCCCTTTCTCCCCCGTCATTGTGTCCACTGTCCCAAACACCATGGTTGCATATATTACTGGAAGAGTAGACTTGATGATAGGGGAGATTAGAACACTATTTGAGGGGCAAAAAAACAAGTTACATGGTTGTCTCACATTCAATGTTGGCAGCCACTTGTATCTAAGGTCTATTACAGGGCATTGTTAAGCAATGTAAATGTTTGTTTGTTTGTGGTTTCTTTCCTATCATTTGAACAGTGCATAATTCAATTTTAATAGCAAGTATTTGGTGAAACAACAAATAAATTTGAGTCTTTATGAATGTACAAGGATACAGTATCTGTTTTCAAAACATGTTTATTTTGTCGTCTCACCTCGTCTTTGAACTCCACGTAACAGAATCCTTTGAACTTCTGCTTGTAGTTGGTGACCATTCTGACCTCAGTGATTTCACCACACTGGATGAAAAAAATGGAAAATGCACGATAATTTATTGATAAAAACACAATGGCAAAGAAATGAACATTTTTTATATCAGAAACATTTAAAATACTACTAGTCTACAGTTTCCATTGTTTTCTTTGTTACACTTGTAATTAATGTCATGTGTTCAGTTATTACTGTGACCAGTTCAATGATAGGACATTTGAATGTAAACCACTTATATGAAATGCCTTGTGAAACCATGTAATTAATTGGTTGAATAATAATTAATGAGGTATTTGAAAACTTATTTCTTGAAGTAAAAACATAATCTGTAATTGTTCCTTCAATTTTTACAATTGTAATTTTATGTGCTAGCTCTTGATCAGTTATTACTTTAAATAGCACAGTACAATTAAATAAACTATTAGAATGATAGAGGGCGTTCTCAATACAAGTCATCTTACCTCAGCGAAAATTGACCTAATCTTGTTTTCTTTCAAATTATATGATAAATTTTTAACGAACACCGTCCTACAGTCTTTCGATGGGTCATGTGAAACTGCACCTTTTACCATAGTAGATTCGTCTGTTTTTTGTTTCTTTGGTGGTGGAGAGTCATCAGTTTTCCTACCCGGCATTCCAGGTGGCAAGAAAGGCACTTTAAACACATTCTCTTGTGGTGGGTTGTTGGATTCTTTTCTTTTTATGACACTCTCAGTCCTTTCATCTGCCTGTTACAAACCAAACATTGATATAGACATAAAAGAGACATTTAAACAGTTCAGGCACAATCCTCAAGAATAGACCATCCCATAATATTCAAACATAATCCTTCTGAAAGAATTTTTTGAATTAGTATCAAAAATTTTTAATTTTTGTTTACGTTTTCAGTTGCTTTTGGTCATTAGGTCTGAATACTAGCTCAGAGTGTCAGAACAGTCTATACCATCTGAGAGTATGCATCTTTGTGCATAAGTTTACACGTCATGAAAAATACACAACAAATAATGCAAGCAGCAAATTTTTCTTTATACAGAATGTGTATGACAAGTGTAACCTTTACTGTGGACGCTTGAATGAAAGGAACACCTAAATACCAACATCATCAGCAAAATTGCTAACAAGTCGCCTGTGCTGATTCAAACTGGAGATCGTTTAGGCCATCCCATTTTCAATAGGAAGCCAAGATACTTTTAAAGAGGGACATGAAAAAAAAAACACGAAAATTTAGCATAAAGTAATGACTTGAGAGCGCACCCCCTCTCAGCAAATACCATTGCCTCCTTTTGAGAAGGAGATGGCCCAAATTGTTTCAAATTGATTATTATCTCCAAACATCAACGCAGGCGATTCGTTAGCATGTTTTTAGGTGTTCTTTTCATTCACGTGTCCACAGGAATGTAATGTAATGTAATGCAACCTGTAATGAAATGTCATAATTAAATGCAAAAGTTGCAGTAGCGATCAGTGAACTAAAAATGTGACTTTTATGTAATTTTCTGCCATGGATTAAATGAAAGGGGTTAATGTGGCATATTTTCCCAATGTGTACAATCACTAGTCTAAGAGTTTTTTATCTGTTGTGCTTAAATTGTTAATTCTGAGGTGTGGCCATCAACAGGTTTACTAACACAGGCATCACAACATTGTGAAAAATAGAGAAAACTGATGAATGGTACGTGACCTTACTTTTCTTTTGATGGGTTGTTTTTCAGCTTTCTTTGCCGCTTTGGCTTGTCTCTTAAACTCAGACACTTCTTCCTGCTGTTTGGTCAATTCAGCTTCTTTTTCAGCAGCCTGGTAAAGAAATATATGTTAGAAAGTTTGCTAACTTTAATCTCGTGTGAGACATGAGTGTTGATTACGATGGACGTCATAGTCATTACCGGTAACCTTGTTTTTATTTACAACACTTAGAATACAAGAACAAGTGGAAATAAAGCCCTGGTAGTAGGAATGTGCAGTTTTGAAGGCAGACATTTTAAATACAACTCAGTAAAGATGGGATCTCAGTGGCTGATTATTCATTTCTACACTACAGTATCCAACACAAAATATAGCTGCCCCCCTCCCTCCCAAAAAACAAAAAAAGGCAACCTCAGCAGTGGATTATTCATTTATACTCCACAAGAAGAAAAATATGAGCAGCAACTAATGTAAAAAATGTAGAAATATCAGTTACGACCCACATACATTTTAACTCATTGTCTCCCATAGAACGAGAGCTGCAGATATTTTCATGGTACCAAGTACGTTTATCTATCGATAATTTACCTTATTTCTTCTTTCATTCACTCTGTTCATCTGCGATTCTACCCTGACAACCGCTGCCTCATACTGCTCCAACGTGCCTTCTTCTCTTTCAAAGTTGATGTACGCTTCGCACACTGACTCGGGCCAATCACTGGTTGACTGAACAGCACGCACAAGAACTTTACGACAGTGCTTGTTGTCACCATACATTCTGTATTAGTGTATAATGTATGTAGAGAAACAAGGGCATGCATGCAAGATTGTTGGTTGAGGGAGCCTTTACAATGATGTCATTGTCACACTGGGTTTTTATTATTTATTATTATTAATTTTAGTGCCCGTCTCTACATTTGCCACTGGGAAATATGCAGAATTACGTCAGGTTGATATGATCAGTCTCAAAAACGACACCCAATTTTTTTTGTCATTTCTATATACTATTACAAAATAATAAAAGCATGTGACATGTACCACTGATATGTTTTGAATCATTAATTATGCACATAATTAATTTTATGACCTCATTATTATGCACATAATTAATACTATGACTCATTATTATGCACATAATTAATTCTATGGCCTCATTATTATGTACATAACTAATTCTATGACCTTATTCATTATACACACGATTAATTCTATGACCTTATTCATTATACACATAATTAATTCTATGACCTCATTAATTAAAAACATACTGTTCATTCACTCACCTTTCAAAATTAATATACTCCAACCATGTCTGTGCTTCTTTGCCGTGAACTGACACAACCTCATCCCATAGTTCTCTAGCAGCTTGTTTGTTTTTGAGATGTTTAGCCTAAGATATAATATACATGAAATTATGTGAATTTCACAAATACCAGAAATGTTATTTGACCTTCAAGACACCTTATCAACTCCTGTCACAATTTACATAATAAACTAAACATATTTTTGCTACATCACATGTCTCATAATTGAATGTCAAATTATTGATTGCCAAGTTTGGTTGAATTTTAAAACTTCGAAAGCTGGTAGAAAAACCTAAAATCAATCAACTATGCAAATGAGCTCATTACATATGCGAAAACTCAGTATTGCATGGCCAATTCAATTTCATCATGTAAATCTATGAACAGTTCTTGAGATATTGATCAACACAGGCATAAATTATCTCATTTGGAAGTCAACAAGCAGATAATGGACTGTGGGTTACACAGTGACATGCACATAGTTGCCATGCAATATTGCAAGTATAAATAATATTTATTGTTAATTATCTCTTCTCACCTCAATTGTTGCCCAGTACTTGTGTAGACTACAGGTGGGGTCGGCTTCTAACCCAAAATCTGAATCAAAAACAAAAAAAACAGTTCGCTATAAATTCAAAAGAAAATAACTACTGGTAATTCACAACAAACTTTGTGAGTATATATCAAAGTACATACACTCTGTGAGGTATTCTATCGCTCGTCTAATGGTCAGTCTGAATTCCTCAACTTCAACTTCATTCTCTGAAAAATAATAGAAAAAGAAAACTATTAAATACACAAATTAAATGACTTGATGTGTGTGTTTGAAAAGTGAACTTTTACTAATTATATTGAGATCTCAAATTAACGCAAGGCTTCTTCTAATATGAATTGAAGTGATCCCATGATGCATCTTACCCCAATATGTTCCCAATTTTCTGTTGTGCAAACAAAATAGTGATGTGACACCTATGCGACCCTGGAGAAGAACTCTAAATTCTTTTCTAAGCTTGAGATCTAACTTGTATGTTTGGGTATACCATATGGCTATATGTCCAAGGTCAGCCAAGGCTATTTATTAAACCATTGCCTCACTACTATAGCTTGGCAGATCTTATTTAGCAAATGACTACTTTAGCGTGCCTTTTTTTGCAATTCCAACATTTTGTTTTATTTCCATCGCCATATGCTGTTTGAACAACTGATTTTATATTAGATTGTATTTTAGAGATTTTGTATTATTTAGTAATTTAGTGATTGTATTTGTTATTTGTTATTTAGTATATTGTGTTTTTGTTTTGTTTTTTATATATATATATTTCTCCTTGTACTTTGTGACCATTTTCTTTCCCTCCGGGGATTGTGTAAGAGTCAATAAGTAAATAAAAGATTGCAGTTATGCTTCAGAGACGCTTAATATCAGATCTACATATTATTACTCAGGTAAAATATGTGATCTTTCAATAGAATCATGTACAATGAGGGAGTATAATTTACAACCAAGTTTGCCAAACATTGTGATTTAGATTGTGACAACTATGGTATAGGCCATCACACTTGTTCACATTTTGCACACATACACAGTGACTAGTTAGCAAGGATCGGTCATTTACAATAAAAGTCAAAATAACAGCACGATACCTTCAGTATAACAAGTTTTCGGGTGCAAAATCTGCTCCATTAAAAGCACATGTGCTTATTTAAAATAACAGAGACGTGTTTATGGTCAAAATAAGTTATATTTTAATAATGTAGCATACAATACATTTTTTGTTTATCTGTTCACTTTTTATTACCCAGGCATTTCTTGGAACTCTTTGTTCTTTTTAGTATATGTATCTATGGCAACATAGTTTGACTTCTAAAGACAGCTTTGAATTCATCTATCATAACCCAAAAACTTATACAGAAAAGATTGTGGGTGGAAAATATTAATAGTGTATACCTGAATGCCAGTCAATTCTCCTCCTCATGTAGTCTATGTAAGTCTGCCATAGTACAAAAAAATCTGAACCTTGCGAGAACCCGGAATTGATGGCTTTTTCAAAAGTTTCTGAAAAAAGAAAAAAAAGTTTATACCATAGATTTATAAGATTAGAGTGTGCAGCCATGATAGGGATGTGTAATAAAGATCTCATGGGAAGCAAACTCTCTTAATTTGCGAATGCTTGTAAGCAAACCAAATGTCAATTAAACATAGTTCAAATAAATAGCTACACAGTATGCATTATATAATGATTATAAATCAACACTACCAGAATCACATGATAACGTAGTGCTGTGTAATCATAAAACCTCTAATTCTGAGATGTGATTTATAATGCGCAGTGCAAAGTCCTTTACTTTAATTATACTACGAAATGCTGAAATATTGGAAATACACAGTGGTAGGCTCTAGAAGAAGGAAACTGACTACTGTAAAATACTTTATTTTAGCTGGAATTATTTTTTTTTTTTTTTTGGTGTTTCACATGGATTTTATTTTCACTGATTTTGGACGAGTTGAAGGTAAAAGATAGGTAAAAAGGTATATTTGCTGGATTTTATTTTCACTGAATCATTCCTTCAGCAAAAATAGTGAAAATTAATTCCAACCGAAAATAAAGTATTTTACAGTTATTTTTTTTTTTTTGCTGCTTGTAATTTAGTTACATATCACATTCAAAAGCAAACGATATGTGAAAACAGTAGTAGTTTCCAGATAAAAATGAAAATTGATACAAAATTGAATATTCTCTTCGTGCATTGCCTGATAGTCGCATAGTATCTATCTAACAACCACTTCAATAATTGTCCGTGCATGGCATCATAATACAGAACATGAACTCTGACATTTTTACCCATGACATCCATAAAAAGTAATCCTACTTTGATGTGGAAAGTGGAAGGGAAGGGTGGGAGGACTATCGGTTTTCAAAATATCTTTTGTGTTGTTTTTTTTAGTTGACAGTGACATATATTGGAACACAGCTAACATACCTTTAACTTTATCATGTGGCTGTTTGTATCTTTCCAGTGACTGAAGATAATGTTGCCATAGCAACATGGTCCATGGACAGTTCCTGACAGCTCTTGTATGTATATTAAGAGAGACGCTGCCAATTTTTAACTGGTTATCCTGAAAGATGAAAACAAAAAAATTAAATTTGATAAAGCTGATAAAATACATAATACATGATATATGAATATCTGATAAATAGAACAAGAATATTTGTTATTACTGTTGTGCAGATGCTGCAGTTTTTGTAGTCTTTATAATTTACTAAATCTATAAGTTACTCAATCTTTTTTTTTATGTGTTTAATTTTAAGTTTGGTTATTTCAGTATTTGTCCACAATTTGCTAAAGATATCAATACAAATTCCTTCATGCTGTTTTCGAAAATCAAGATAAAAAATATGTGGTCATCAAAATATATTTTTTGCACACAAATAGGTCAAACAAACATTCATGTGATTTTGAGACCATTTACAATCGGTTTCTATGGTGAAACAGTTTCATCACAATTTAAAATCATGATAACAAATTAATTGTAGCTATGAAATGAGAACTAATTATTAGAACATTTTGATGAATACTACTTATTTTTTGTAATAATATCACAAATTCACAAATTAATAAAAAAATAAATATAATATCACAAATTCCTATGGAAACTATTAAAAAAATGTCAATATTATAATTCGCACTGTGTATAAATAGCTAAAGATGGTGTCACCAGTCATGTGACACTTGAAACAAAAAATATGAATACATATGAAATACTCTGTAAACTTGTCTGGTTGTTTTGTTTAGACAAGTTAACTGTGTATCATTACGAATATCTATAATTGTCCTCTGTAGTGGCAACATTTTTTTACTTATTAAATACTTACTACATATTTAGTGTAGTCTAACCAGAGTTCAGGAACTAGACAGTTTTCCTCCAAACTTCTCTCGTATATACACTGTATTCTGGTCGGTTCACCTTCCGACTTCTCATATTCTATGTACGACTTGTATTCGGCTAGCCTAGGGGGTTCTGCAGTCAGCTGAAATACAATGAATTCAAATCCGATCAGTTATTTGATCAGAGCAGATACAATCGAAATGGTTCAAGAATAGGAGAACAAATTTCATCAATTTCACAAATCAAGGGTTTACTTTGTGACAATAGTGAAATCTCAAATGAATGACCTTAATGACCTAATTAATAGCAGAATATATTAAATGACAGAATCATGAAACCTGTATAGTTTCAGGAGATGACTGGTGATCATGGAGTAAGATGTGCAAAAGTTTCCCATAGTCAATAGCCATGTTTATGGATTTTTTACGATATGCAATAAATTATATCTAATCACTGTGTAATGACATAGACTATTAGAAGCACCTGCAAAAAGATGATAATTCGACATTCTCACATCCTTGACTACTGAGAACACCAATATGGGATCAAATCGATCCCATACTTATGTATTCAAGCATGTTATATGAAACAGTTTGGTAAAATGTTCTCTGATTCGATAATATTACCGGTAGATAGATGGGCAGAAACATGCAGAATACTATCCAATCGTATGATGTGAAACATAAGAGCCAGAACTACAAAGTGAGCAAGCAGCACCAACACAGCGTTAATAAAACATGGCTTCAGAAATAGGGAATACTACACTGCCGAAAATACCAGCATTGGCAGACTAGGTGAACTAACACTTCATACTAATATCATATACATAATCTCTTGAAGGTATCATCATTGACACCTTACTTGCAAAAGATGTGAATCTCACCACAGATTTTATGTCGGCACGCAGCATAGGAAAAGCTTTGATTTTTGTCAGTCACTAGGAGTAAATATTTAGTTAATATGTATTTGTTCATACCAGTTTGTATGCAGTGATTTTTTAAAATTTATCGTTATCAGATTTCTATCTGCATGGCATTTGCACATTCAGCAGATGATAAGGTTTTGTGATGCGGAATAATACATCCACTAATTTGAGCAAGTTCGCATCTACTCTGAACTCATTCACCTCTTTCATAATGCATTTTGATGTGATGTGAGAAAAAGAATCTCATACACCAAGAGCAACAAGATGGGATTTCCATACGTGTTAATTTTTTCTCTCACAATCACCTGTATCCAAACTCGTGTGAGAAATCTCATACTAGGCTCTTGGGGATGTGTGATTCTATTTTTTTTATTATTCTTACCAATGCATCCTCATACTGTGTTCTGTTTTTAAGTTTTAATAAAGCTTTTTGATAGGAATGTTTAAGGTGATCAGGAATCGGCGTTGTGCTCCACTCTTCATACTCTTCATATGTGCTCTCCATGTCTGAAAAAACAAGCCATGTATGGCAAGTTCCTGTTAGTTATCAATTTTAAGATAGTTTATATAGTTTTGTTAATAGTAATATACATGTAGTTGGAACATAAACACATCAGAGATATGGAACCAGAAGCTGATGCTTGATTATAATTGTTCAACATTAAAATGATTGACATTCAGTCATCTGTATTTGATAGTCAAACAAGTACTTGTCCATATTGAGAAATATTGCTCTAGAACAGCATTAATTAAAAACAAAATGGCCATTTTGAATCGGATAGTCAAACCATTACATCTGTATAATTATGGCATGATGTATAATGAATATATACAATTTTAACATAATCAGTCAAAGCATGTCAGAACCGCACAAAATGGTCGCCAGTCAGCCGTTTTGAATTTGATCTGAAAAACAAAATGAAGTGCATCAAGAACCCATAATGTCCAATGTATGTACCAAGTTTGAATGAAATCATTCCATAGAAGACCGAGATCTGGTTCTGGGATGCCAGAAATGCTGGATTTTTGTATGATTTTTTCAGCACAAAAATGTCAGTCAACCATTTTGAATCCCATCTAAAAAAACAAAATGATGTGCATCAAGGTCAGTTAATGTCCAATGTATGTTTCTGGTTTCGGAATGCCAGAAATGCTTAATTTTGATTTTTCATCACCGGAATGGCCAGCATTTGGTCATTTTAATCAGATGGTCAAACCAATATATCTATGACATGATGTATAATAAATACACAAAATTTGAACATAATCCCTCAAAGCATGTCTTAGTTATGACACTAAAACTGTATTCACTAAAACCAAACGGCTGCCAGTCGACCATTTTGAATCAAATCAAAAACATAATGACGTGCATCAAGGTCCTATAATGTCAAATGTATGTACCAAGTTTTAACAACATCCATCTGTTAACAGAATGCCAGAAATTCTTGATTTTGATGATTTTTCATCACGAAAATGGCCACCATTCGACCATCTTGAATCAGATTGTGAAACAAATTGATGATGTATGTGTGAAGTTTGATTGTAATCAGTCCAGGCATGTCTAAGATACAGGTATGTCTAAGATACGCACACACGGCCGCATACACAGAGGTCAATCCATAAGTCCTCGTTTTTGAACTGTGTTCAGACTGGGACTAACAAGTCATTATCACAGGCACAGTCACTGACTGGGGTTTGGTCACAATATTTAAACAAATAATAACAAAATTATGCTGGTTTACTTGATGACAAATAAGTTTTTGACAATCAACGTCAACTTTTGTCAACTTTCACAAAACATTTTTTTTTTCCATATATTTTTCAAGATCTGTAGACAATGAAACATTATACACATCTGGTCCAATAATTAATAACGAAATTATAGAAAAATACATAAAAATTGACAAAATATTGCAACATAATTTTGGTTTGATTAGCACTCAATATTACAGTAATGTGCCTTCTGCTTTTTTTGTATTGGGTATTGCAGCCATTATTGTGTAACATAAGGTACCTGGCATGACTATATTCAAATTATTGTGTAACATAAGGTACCTGGCATGACTATATTCAAATTATTGTGTAACATAAGGTACCTGGCATGACTATATTCAAATTATTGTGTAACATAAGGTACCTGGCTTGACTATATTCAAATTATGCAAGATTTGTATACTGTATTAGCTTTATTAGCTGCACATGCATAAATGACAGAGTTATGTTTGACAGTCAAATAAATCATATTTAAATGATACTATAAATACAATTGTTGGTTTTAGTAGAGATGTGTTTTTAATAAAGCAAATATTTACTACCGGTTGTTACACCTTTCAGCGCCAATGACACCATTCACAAAATTAAACCTTCAACATTTGTTTCACTTTCTTCCCAAAATTGTTATAAAGACCTGTAGTCTATTTGGTCTAAAATTGAAACAGATTTTCTAGAAAAATACATAAACAAAATTTATGATGTTCAATGAGATAATCCATGATCACATTATTTGGGGTTTGCAAGTAGCCGATGATGCCAAGATCCCGTTTCAATCTCGCTCTCGCATAAGCGTTTTAACTCAGAAAAATGTGAATGTGCATGCCCGAGGTAACTAGGATACTGGGATGTCCAGGTGGATCAAAATAGCTGATCACGATATGACGGATTTCGAGAACTATATTTTCTGTACATTTTCGATGTATTACATTTTGTCACTATGAATGTTGTGATACATGTTTTATTGTAAACCTTGAACATTGATATACATTGATATGTGTCATGTCAGAAGGTCATAGCATCAGTCTTGCTATCTACGAGATGAGACTTGAATGGGATCTTGGCATGATGTCACCATACAGTACTATGCGTGTTGCAAACCCCAAGTAATGTACCTCTGATCAAATATATATCATTTTTTAAGGCAAGTACAAATAAATTTAAAAACATGTGAACTTACCCATCAATGGAATTGATAACTGTCTTCTAAACAACGCATCTATTTTTTCAGTTTGAGCATCAATTTCTGACTGTTTTTCGGCAGTTGTGATTTGACCTGCACCTGGCTGTGAAACGTACATTGAACACGATGATCAATATCAAGATCACATTCAACACGACCCAATTGACTTGTATAACCAGTCAATTAAAATTGTTCACATTGTACATTCGCCGCTATTACGTATACGGGTGTATACAATAACTTTTAATACAAACTCTGCATAAGTATGTGTGTAAGTTATTTGGTGACATACAATCCTATACCATTGAATGACAATGTTTTAAATACATGTGATTCATACCACGACTGTCATAAACTGGAAAGTTTTAGCTTGAATCAAATTATTGTTTTGAATTAACGTACCTTTATTGATTGTCAATCTGTCAAATTTTCAAAGTTGTAGGTACTATGCTATACTATAAATTGATTACGAAAATTATAGATCATTCATTTGTCAATTCAAGACAGCTTTGGTACACAAATTGTTGTGTCTGCTGTCCTCAGATCAATCAAGAGTACTGGACATTGAAATAGATCTATGCCATTTTTAATAAATTGGACCCAATGTATGAAGTTTGCTGAAATATCAGCAATATTACTGTGAGAATAGATACATTTGTATTTTGTTGAGTCGTGCATTTATCACCTTTCTATCACAATCATATGATGGCAATGGATATTACAATTTAGCTAATGATACATATTAGACATACACATAATCCAGCAGTCGGAAACTTTCCTATCTCACCTGTATGGTGGCCAGAAGTATACTTTCAAACTCTCTGTACGCCTCCCAAAGTGTAGCACCCTTTGTAACATGAAGTCCCACCGCTGTGATGGATCGCTCAAAGACCTTCCGAATATTACTTATGCCATCTTTCATTGCCATGCCACCAATCGAATACTGGACATATTCTAGCCATATGCCCACACCTGTAAAATAAAGGCACTTTTATACATCTACTGTAAATGTTTTATATTAGCTGAAATTTATTTTTGATATGTCAACAAAATTTGTCAATAAACAAGCTTTTTTTTTATTGACCTGACTGGTGTTAGAATTGGATAGCCAGTAAGGCAATCACTTTGCATCAACTCAAAATTCTGCCATAGTAGTGTTCAAGCAGGCTGCACAAGAACATACTAACACCATTAAAGATGCACAAAATATTTGAAAAATTGCTCAGATTTATTCTACAGTAATTATTCAGAACAGATGTTGTGGTGAATCTTTGTGAATCTACGCCTGTGTCAGAACACTAACTCACAAATAAAATTACACTTACACTAACGAAAACATTCATGCTATTAACATATTCCCCAAAAAATATTTATGAATGTTCTAAGATTGAATCTTAAAGATCAGATTACAAGAACTCAACAACATGATGATGGTACTCACACATGTAATCTTTAACAGCTCTTTCAAATAATGCATTGATATGATCCCGTCCACTTTCTTCGGATGTTAACGACATCTCATCTTTGATCCATGCTAACCACAACTCTAAGATCATGCATTGTAGTCATGGCAACAAGAAACACAGAAGAGTTATGACAAGGAAAGTATACTGTACATGTACATGTATGTGTTATACCATGGTCAGCTGAGGATGCTAAAAAAATGTAGTTTATAGTGGTCGAATGCATAATTACACGTCAAAAACGATTTTTATTGGCATTTTAAGT